AATGCAACACAAGTTTTCTTTTTGGTACAGAATGTATGTATTGAGCAATATTCTTAAATGCTAAATATACATTAATGGCTTATTTTAGAAACATGACAACATTAATTTTGGAACTGATTTAGGCAATGATCCAATGAGTTCCATGCACACGGTGAGGTTTCTGAATATCACTTTCCAAAGCAGCCACCTAGATACATGCATGAGACGTGTGTCTGTATATTTCTAAAGGAACTCTTTGGATCATGGCCATCCTCTTTAATTTAACCACTAGTACAGATTTTCTAAGAACAACAGTTGTTTTAATCTGTTCATGTGGTGCACAGTCAAGAAGGCAGATCTTAAGAGTATTTACATTCATGCATTAGTTCTTAACACACTATCTTTGCAGTTTAAAAATCATATATTTTGTTTGCAGAGATGCAGGGAGGGTAGTAAAGAATATATAAAAATATATTTATAACAGTCACGATTCTCCATTGCCTTGGACTATGACTTACCGTACATACCTGTGCAAAGCATGTACAATATAGGACAGGTTACACCAATTTTGCATGAGAGAAATCAAGTTGCAAAGTGTGAGGCAATGGAAATTCAGGTCCATATATATATGATCCAGCCAAAGTTAAGCACCTTTAGGTCCCGCTGGGAGAGTTAAAGAAGTGCTTTGTTCTCTCTTGAAATCAAATAGAATTCAGAAGTGCTTAACTTTGGGGGATTATGCCCTCTATGTATATCTATGCCATATATCTCTTATCCTGATAACAAAATATGTAAATTGAGAAAACCTTACGTTCTTTGGGTCATATTGTGGCACACAATCTGCTAGATGTATGCAAAAGGATGCTAAGATATACCCATTGGAAAAGTTTGCTCACTACACACCCTGAAGTATGCAGATCCTTTCAGCATCTAATCTTAGAAAATGAGAATAAACCTCAAATCCCTGTAAATTGCTATCCTGAATTACTGAACTTCAGTGTCATAGGCCCCCATTGTGAAGATGTGTTCATCTGTCAAGACTTGCATATTTCATTGGTATTTAATTAAACGTATTAGACAGATCACAGACTCCCTTCTCCCAAGCTTTGCAACAAATTAGTACCACTCCCAACAAATTCCTGGTTATACTGCAGAGCTGTAGGAGTCAGCTCCAGAAGGCTTGTGCCACAGCTCTGAAGACTGAGGCCTTCAGAGGTCTCACGTGGTGCCATGCTGAGAGGCTGTTCCATCTCAGAATGCTGGTGGGGGAAATTGTATGACTGAATAGTCCTCAGGGCAATTGCAATCATCATCATCATCGTCGTCGTCATCATCTCCTTCCTGCACGTAATGGTCAGGGAGGTAGCCAAATGAGAAGATGCCTATATATTTAAGTGCATATGTATTTATTTTCATGGGTGTATGAACAGGATCATTCTGATTTAAGCCCCCTCACGGACACTGTTAAGAGGCCAATCTTATTGCAGTGCTGTAGTGCTTGGACATCTCCAAAGCTTTGCTAGGTTTCTGCCAGGAGTGTAAAATTCTTCCTTCTCAGTTATGCTGGAAGGGAAAGCAACACCAAAACACCAGCTACTTCAGGAATCAAGCTTTCAGGCTGATCCACATTTGTTCCCCTGTTCTGGAGGAATGCTGAAGGCACTCCATGCCTGTCTGTCTCTAGTTCTAACATAGGTCAGGCATGGGCTTTCTGCGGTACAACATCAAGAACAGAGGGGAAGACCTGGTCCGTCCTATGCCCTGTGGGATGCCAGCAGGGATGCATTCTAACCGATACAGTCCAAGTGCTATATGGCATTCCTCTGAATGCTCAGCCTTGGGCATTGTGTTCATCCATCCGTTCTTCAGATGCATTGCATTTCTAAGGCTCTGACTGAAGAGCAGCAAAGACAGCTTGGTGCTGCTTAATTCAAAACAGCATAACATGGAGTACAGCAATGAGTTTTACCCTCATTCACCAAAAGAAAACTCCCTAGTAGTAGGCTTACATTAAGGTATGAAACAGAATCAATACAACCACATCTAGTGCTAGATTTCAGTTCACATCAACAAGCCATTAAAAATATATGCATTTAAATATGTTTTCTCTCAAAATAGACATTTCAGTTACTGTTTTGATATGATTATACTGCCTATAACTTTGTCAAAACATTCAGAAAATGTGAGTTCTGGTGAATAATGAAATTCCAATCCACATGAGAGTGGTTCAGGTAATGTCACATAGGAATTTGCAAAGATCTAATGTCTCAAGCATCCTTAGGATAACCATCCACAGAATCAGTGCTGGGTGCAGTTGTGAAGATCTGCGAACAGACAGGAACGCCCCCCCCCCCACCCAAATAAAAAATATTTTTAAAAGACATTGTATTCTGGAAAAGAATGGATATGTACCTTGTATTCTCTCCCATTCTCTTCCCTGCTGTCCTGTTCTGTCTCAGCCCTTCACATTGCTAGCACCGGGAGCATCATCCTGGCTGCTCCTGTGTTTGTATGAAGCACACACTACAAGACACATTTTTTTGCAGGGTGTCCAAAAACACTACCACAAACCAGAAACCTTTATAGATTCAGAATCACAACCTTCCCAGTTCCTGGCAAACTATTTCTTATTTAGGGAGAAGTGTCATTATTTTAACTGTCAAAGATCTCTTTATGGTTTTTATGAGAAGCAAGAATAAAATTCAAGTATGATTTTAATGATTCAGAGCTGCTCATTAACATGTATAGAATATTCTCAGTAGTTCCTAATGAACACTGTGTTAATGAGAATAAGGCAAATAAAAATATCTGTATATAGATGATTATGGAGAGGCTTGCTGTTTTTTTGTAAATATTTGAATGATAATAGCAATAACAACAAATTACTTTGTAAATAATGCCCTTTTGTGCAAGGGGCTTTCAAAGTAGGAAGAAGGTTATAAGACCATCAACTCAAATGCTATAAAATGTTTTGAGAATTTGGTCACTATAGGCAGATGCAGGGTGTATAGCAGGCCAATAATAGGGTCCCCTTCACCCAGGCAGAGCCTCTGTACTTCCACATTTCCCTGGAAACTGGCAAAACAATTTCCCTTTGATTAACAAAGGCTGCACTGCAACCCTGTCAAGCTGAGGATGGCTAGTGGGCACCCTTCCTCCACCGTTCTCTTATGCAGATCAGAGGAGGGAAATCTTTGATCCTTCAGATGTGTTGGACTCCCATCAGCTCCAGCCACCACACTCAATAGTCAAGCATGATGGAAGTTGTTGTCCAACAGGTTTCCCACTTGTTTTAAAATATATTTTTGATTCTTGCACCTAAATCCCACAAAAACAGAAAGAATGCGGGGAAAACAATTACACGAAGGGAATATCTCAGTGTAGAGATGACAAAGCATCCTGGTTGGAAGGAAAGTACATTTGAGTATGGTTTCCATTCAAAGTATTTTGGTTGAAGCTACTTTAAACCAAAAAACAGCAACTGAGGTTTGGCAACTCCATTCTCTGACTCATTTCCTTCCACAAAGTGTGGGGAACAGAGCATCTTCGAACTATTTGGAAGGCAATGATTGGTATTCTCAAAGAAGAGCATTATTTTAACCCCACCTTCAGCAAGTCTTGGCATTTGAAAGGCTGTAAAAATCCTTTCCAGCTATATTCCTAGAGAGGGGAAGAAAGGTCAGGCAGTCAGGTGAATGAACTGATATCTCTGTGGATTTATCTGCAAAGGTAAGTAACCAGTTTCAGTTTTCCCTGTTGAAGAACAGACATAATTTACACATACCCTGGAATGTGATAATATAAAATGCATTTTTTTTTAGAAAATCCAAGTTCCTAATTTGAACACCTCAAGTATTTCATGGAGGGTGGTACTCAGGGACTGGCCAGATCTTTTTTTCCAATAAAGGAATTCAATGTCATAATGACAGGAAAGTGTATCGTGCACTTTCACATTTCCCCTCCTCCATAGCCTTTATTTTCTAGGCAGAATATTCAGAAGCAGACCACAAACACATCTGATAAACATGTGGCATAGGGGCTTGCAATACTTATTCCTGCAGTTACAATATTGTAATAGTAGCAACTGCAGTACCAGAAGACCATAGTAATAATATTTGCATCTGCTGTTACTGCACTGTAGTAGCAAGGCAACCGGTTTTTATTTTCTAAGCGGTAAATATTTTAGTAGTAGTAACAAGTGTCTTTATGGTGGAAGTAAATTCACCAACTTTTATTTTCTATGCAGGACCTTGAGAAGATGATTATAATGTGAGTGACACCCCACATACATCTGTGGTGGATATGTGCAGTATGTGTACACCTGCCCCTATTGTTACTGCACTGGTTTTTTCTACTGAAACAGGTATGATTGACCAGACCCACAAGATCCCAAATATCACAGATACGTCATCTTTCATTCATGTGCTGAGTATTATGCACTTGACAATGAACTTTGATGCCCCATCTGATGACCTTGGTTGGGGATGTGACAGTGATCCAACCCGTGCAGCTACCTGCTGTCAAGAACATCCCATTCCTCCTCTGCCACTATGATGGGACGTCTGCAGACACAGGAATTCTAGATATACATGGATGCAGATCGGGGGCTCTGGACCGGTGTACAACTTTTTGGAGTCTCAGTACTGCTACTCAGCCTATCTTTGGATAAAATAAGCCAGAATATGAGCATCTCTGCACAAACAGCCTGTATGGACAAGATGCAGGAATTCTATGGACAGCGCTTGCAATAAGCTTCATTTGGATTGCTCAAATACATGATGACACAGTATCACTCAAGCTGGACTGCAAGATCAAGAGCACAGCACATTGTTTTTTTTTTTTTTTTTTTTTTGCTGCTGCAGCTCTTGGAACAGCGACAAATGAAGGCATACAAAAAGGAAAGGCTAAAATAATGGGTGTGTTGTTTCAACATCTTAATCCAGGAGAGGGCAAACACAGTAAACTTTTCCTGTTAAGAAATGAAATTGACTGAGCCTAATGACATATCACGTGACAATGGGTTTGGCAGATTTGGCTTTTAAGTCGTTTGCAGTCCTTATCACAAAGTGGTACAACACACAGCTATCACAAGTAATTTGGCACAGTTGGCAGTCCTTTGTCGAGAGAGAGGACTGAGCTATCACAGCTTTCTTAAGTGGAGAGTCCTTTTCTCAGAAGAAGTCCCTTGGAAGAGGAAATAAGAAATACCAGGCAATAGGAAAGCTTTGAGAAATCTGAGCTTGCAAGAATGCTGAGGAGGACTTCAAGGACCTTTTCTTTTTTCTTTGCAGCTAGTTTTCCTTTCCAAGCCACTCTAGAGATCCCGCCTACAGATCCATGTGGTCTCAATATAAGTGCAAAATTGTGCAGAATAGTAACTGAGGAACATAGATGTGGAACTTATTAAACCTGGGGCAAAAACACTATAAGGCAATGAAAAAAAGAGGGGAGGCAGGAAATAAGACTGTGGATGAACAGTATAGTATTCAAAGCACCTTTAAATGTTATTACCTATAATAATTTTCTCTTTGATCAGCAATACTAATTGGTATGGAATGTACTGTGACTAATTTCGGCCCGAAAATTCTCCAGCCGTGGAAATTGCATAGTCACCAGGCTGTAGGTGTAAGGTGTGTATTTCATAAGATCGTGCAATTTGTGGGGAGGCTGCATGGAGGGGTTAAGAGAAACTTTCCCACTTAACAGTGCAATCACAATAAAGAATGGCTATGACTTGTAAATGATAAACGAAAAGCAAAGCCATGCTAGCAAAGCTTACATTTTCAGACCCAATTACAGTATGCTGTTGTCTTGGACAAAACACCTTCACCATAGGAGGATCCTACTAGAGCACAATTTTTAATGATCCATCAAAATAAGAGGGAGGGAAAAGAGAGAGAGAGAGAGAGGGAGAGAGAGGGAGAGAGAGGGAGAGAGAGAGAGGCAGGCAGACTGACAGACAGACAGAAAGAAAGACAGAAAGACAGAAAGGAGGCCGGGCACTTTCAAATTACGCGGCATGCAGTGACTATGCCTCTGTGAAGTCTTTTCTCAGAGCAACCCTGACTGACAAGTTTATCCCTCCATTTGTGACAATCAGCATGCCAAAGAGGAGTCGTTTGCTTTTCTTCTCCATGTGTGTGCTGTTTTCTGAAATGAAGACCTTGGCCACGGGGCTTCTCTCATTGCTGCTTTTCACCCATCTTGCATATACTGTCTGTGCTTTGAAGGTTTACCATTCAAGGGAGAGTTTCAGAAATTATACCACTGCATTGTTAGTGTCAACTTCCTTGTTGTTTTGGGAAGAGGTCATTGCATATTCAGCTTGACTTGTTCCATTCTCTTCTTTCCTCAGTGGTTTCCTGGGTTGAGGTCCAGCAGAAGTAGTAATTTAAAAAGGAGCGAGAGGAGAGAGGAGGGAAAGGGGACAGATAAAAGGTTTGTTAGTAATATACAACATTCTAAAAACATCTTGTCCAAATGATTAGAAGGAAGGTTGGTTGGGCAGGGAAAACACATGTTTTATACCAGTTTAATTGGCATAGCTTCCCTGACAAAATCCTAGGAGTTGTAGTACAATGGGCATACTGAGCATTCTCTGTTAGAGTGATGCCAGGCATAATATACAGAAGTCTTTATGGAGGATTCCTACTATCTTCACTATTGAACTGTCATCAGTCTTTGTTCTTCAGAACTGTCTGAAAATGCAGGCTGAAGTATACATCATCACACTTTCCTAGTCACCTAACTATAAACCATTGGTCCTCAAACTACGGCCTGCCATGCTCATTTATCTGGCCCAACTCAGAGCTTTTGGACTCGCCCAGAAAAAATGATCTCAGAGTGAGTCTAAAAGCTCTAAGCTGGTGCAGGTGTTCTCTCAAACTGAGCAGAGCCGGCGCACGTGCCAAATTGTAACAGCTCAACTGTGCGTGTGCCGGCTCTTCCCCCACCTATTGCATGCATATACAGAGCGGGAATACAGAGTGGGAAACAGAAGAGAGGAGGGTGGGGGGGGGGGAGAGAGAGAGAGAGAGAGAGGACTGAAAGTAAGAAAAATTTAACTTTTCAAATCTATTTTTAAGTATGTGAGCCACGTCCCCGGGCACGGGAGCTGTGGCCTTCTATGGGCAAGCCACCGCCACCACTCTCAGGCTCAGCGAGGCAGCTGTGGTTTGCCCAGAGAAGACTGCGGTGGAGGCGTGGGAGCTGCAGCCTTCTATGGGCAAGGCACTGCCGTCGAGTGGCTGTCATGTTTCTTCCCCCCCGCGGCAGGGAGAGGCAGGAGGCACCCCGCTCGGCCAGCCATGGCCCTGTCCCTCACCTCAGAAAGAAGCCCTTACCTCCCTCCTCACAGCCCTCTCCCGGCCGGGGGAGCTGCCCCGCACTCACCTCTCTGGCATCCTGTTCGCTTGGAACCAGGGAAGTGGCAAGAGATATAATTTCCATTATGCCCAACCAGCATGGCCAATGGTAGTTGTAGTCCAACTCATCTGGACAGTACCAGCTTTGGCAAGGTTGCACTTAAAATATGGTAATCATTAGCTCTGCATCCAAATACAGCCATTGTGTATTGTGGGAATTGTTCGGGGCTGGCCTACTTCAAATACTAAGAGTGGCATCAACAGTATTTATCCTTAGTATTTTTGCTTCATTCTTTGTAAATGCCAGTTGCAGTCATCAGCTGCATTATGCAACATACTATATTTAGTGCCTTGGTTGTGTTGTAGCTATGTCCCTTGAATATGGACATGTTCTTCCCCACCTCATCTTGGGCTTCTGTTGCAGCCTGATGGATCGGAGCAAACAGTTTTAAATTAATGATTCAATTTAATTTTTAATGTGCAGTGTGCATAGGAATTTGTTCATATTTTTTTCAAACTACAGTCCGGTCCTGCAACAGTCTGAGGGACAGTGGACGGGTCCCGTTTAAAAAGGTTGAGGACCCCTGCTATAAACAAATCCAAGGTCTTTGCAGACAAGCTGTTGCTGACCTGCTAACCATGGTCAGGATCCTTCACCTTCTGTCTATTTTATGCAAACTCCTTCCTGCCTGCTACAGTTTACTTTACCCATGGTGTGGACTGATGTCTACATCAGTGTTACCCATACTCAATCCTAACCAAGAAAGTGTCACAACCAAGGAACACAAACTGCACATCAAACATTGTTTCAAATTCCAGTTACAAGAAGGTATACATGTGGAATAAATGAAATCCAGAAAAGTAGCAGTTTTGTACCTACTTTTCTGGATGTAAACTGTATTGAGCTTAATGTTACTTACTGCTGAGCAGACTACCAGTGGAAATATGGTAGGCTTCAGAGGAAACAGGTTGAAAGGTTTGTCTTAAGCAATTAGGTGGCAATTAATAAAGATTGGCTATAATACACTCAAAAGAATGTCTGTCATCACAAAACCTTGGAAGCCTTTCATAGCAAAAACTATAGCCTGTTAATGTTAGTTGTAGTTTCAGCTTTTATAGAGTCAGAACAGTACTGGAGGAGGCAAATTATAACACATGCTCAGTGTATGCAGTCCTTGTCATGAAGCATTGTATCTTTAAGGTTCCACGGCTAATTAATTATACTGTAAAAGTACAGATCAGACATTTTAAAAAAATTCCCCACCATGCATCTATTACAATATTTCGATATTTGAGAAGTATAGATATTTTTTAAAAGTTTATCTTTTTCCCTATTTATCTAAAACATGTATGTTAAACAAAGCAGATATTCATGGGAAAGTCTGCATTAGCCATTTAAAAATATGGATACAAAATGAAACTCATTTTTTCTCCTATCTTACTTTCTTTTTTACCTCTTGCATTCATTCTTTTCATCATTACAATTTTTGCTTCATTTTTCAGCCCACTCCAGTACTTTTTTAAGTAGCAATTCCTCTACAATTAATATGGCTGGGTGTTAAGAGCTCTTGAAATCTATAATACTCACTCCATGGCTGGATTGCTCTTTAAAATGCATTTCATCCGTCTGCTATGCAATTTTCTACATAAAGTTATTTTGCTAAGTAGTAAACCAGTAATTGAACTGTTTGCACAAATTGGTTTAAAATCAATGGAGCATTCAAGCTCTAGATCAATTAAAATTTATGGTGTCCAGCAAAGGTATGAAATGGGATTTCAGCATCCATAACCTCTCCATCACTCACATGCATTAATTTTCATGAGTCCTAAAACCAAGAGAATACAATTTAGAAGATATTTTAATAGAAACCACTTCTTATTTAAGATTCAGTCCTCCCAACATAAGGCATCAAGTCAAGTTATTAAAAGACAGACATGAGATGTGAAGAATATATATTTTTTCCTGGTGACCAAATGGCAAGAGTCAGTTACTTAGCGTTCTATTAGGGAGACACAAGAGGGTTGGAAATATAAAGTAAGCCTCTGCCAAGAAGAGCAGAATTTGTACAGGTAAGTTCAGAGGCAAATGTTTTGACACCAGATGTGTAGGTCAAGATAACCATGTATGAAACTAACTGAATGTTTCCTGCTATGACATTTTCTGTTACTAATCATTGCTGTTGTTAGTTGCGAAGTTGTGTCCGACCCATTGTGACCCCATGGATAACATTTCTCCAGGCCTTCCTGTCTTCCACTATCCCCCAGAGTCCACTCAAGCTCACATCAACTGCTTCAGTGACTCCATCTAGCCAAGTCATCCTCTGCCGTCCCCTTCTTCTTTTGCCATCTATTGTTCCCAGCATTAGGCTCTTCTCCAGGGAGTCCTTCCTTCTCATTAGGTGGCAAAAGTATTTGAGTTTCATCTTCACTATCTGGCCTTCTAAAGAGCAGTCAGGGTTGATCTCCTCTAAGACTGACTGGTTTGATCGCCTTGCAGTCCAGGGGACTCGCAGGAGTCTCCTCCAGCACCACAATTCAAATACTAATCATTACCAAAAGCTAAACATATAAATTTGCTGTGCATGACGACTGTGGCCACTGGTCCTGAATGGAGATGGGCTCACTCTAGATAGTTAGCATGTACCTACAGTAAAGAGTCTTTTTATATATAAAACAATTTGCTGGTGTGGTCCATCTCTTTCATGGTCAGATAACAAACAAGAGGCACTTTTTTCACCTAAACAGAAGCATCTGCCAAGGCAGTTGTAGCTACATGCCATTAAATTGTGTCCAACATATGGTGAACCTATGAAGGAGTGCTCTTCAAAATGTCCTGTCTTTGAGGGCTCTGCCCATCTTTAGTAAACTTGAGGCTGTGGCTCCCTTTACAAAATCTATCCATATCATATTTGGTGGTCTGCAGCTGAATGTACTTTCCCCATAAATCTTCCTTAGCATTATTGTCTTCTCCAGAGGGACCTAGCTGTAACTAATTTTTCTAAACTTCCTATGTACCTTTGCTCTTACACTGTCTTGTATAACACTGGAATCTAATGTCTCTGCATGTGTATCTTCTGCTAAGGAACTTACACTTCTTTGGCTATCAATGTTTCAATATATGCTCATGGCCTATTTCTTCTACATTTGGTGACTGGACACATTTGTATCTTCATCCCTTAGGGATGATTCAATCCAGACTGGACGTGTCCTAGCCAGACCTAGGTTTGGGGAGGGAGATTAGGGAGGACAGTTTTCCTCCACCAGACAATATTTTTACAGCTGCTGGACCACTCTCGTTCCTCTTCTTCCTCACCTAGAAACAGCCCATGAACTACTCACACTTTTGGGTTTACATATTACAGCAATCCATGCTTTAAACAACACTGAATGTATAACCCATGAGTTGTTAATAGTTAACCAACCATGGTTTATTATTTGGCAACCCATACTACAAGTTAATGTTGTGCATGAATGAGGTTCATAACTGTTTACACCAACCCACCAAATGGGTTTAAAGATTCTTTTACTTTCAACTGATCTTTCTGTGCCTTGACCTCAAACAACCCTTCACTGTTTATGAGACAGCTCAGATTCACAGAAATAAGCACATACATCAGGAAACAAAGTCCTTCTGAACTCTTTTGACTTCTACTGATAAAAATTAAGTGTCCAAGGAATAGGAATGCCATTTTTTCTAAAAGAGGAAAATGTATTATTTTAATGTGAAGTCTTGTTGCAAGCTCCACTTGCATAAAATAATTCACTGAATCACCTCTAAATATAGAGAACTTTTCTGCAGCCTTCCAAATCTTTCTGAGATTGACTTTATGCATTCTTGAAGGCCACCCTTGACTTTTTTTTTTTTTTGGCAAGGGGGCAGGGGCTAATAAAGAGATCTTTGGGAGAGATGTTGAAATAACCCAATTGCCATTGATGGATCACTACACTACAGTGCCTAGATTTGTTGAGACTGCTAACCTGGTAAAATCTATAATAAT